TATATATATATATATATATATATATATATATATATATATATATATATATATATATATATATATATATATATATATATATATATATTTGTAAATCAGCTGTCGAGAATTTTGTTAATGACTGATGTTCTCGATATTTATACTGTTATCAAAGTAAGCACAATGTATGATTAATATATAAGCTTTTCTAGTATAAAAAGAGAACTACATATAGCTTAGTGTTATTTTTAGGACAATAATACTAGGACTTTAAACGAATCGAACGTTCAGCGAACCGTTCGGCGGAAAGTTCGTTTATGTAATAAATGAACAACTTTTTTTGTTCGTTTAGTTAAACGAACGAACATGAACAAGAGTCTTGTTCATTCCTTTATATATTAAATTTAATATATAATCATTTTATTTATTTACTTTGAATTCAAATAATATTTATTTATGTTCGTTTAACCCGTTCGTTTAGCCCATTTGGTTACGTTCGTTTAGCATGTTAACGAACAAACATAAATGAACACGAACACACCTGATTTCTAAACGAACGAACACGAACACAAAGATTTTCGTTCGTTTGTTCGGTTAAGTTAAACGAACGAACATGAACAAGCCTCCGTTCGTGTTCGTTCGGTTCATTTACAACCCTAAATGGTAATATTTGTCTTAATAAGCTTTGATCTTATAAACTTAAACCAATATGACACTTTAATAGTTTTGACATCCTATAAATCCAGTTTTATTGTAATTTGTATCTCAAGAATGTAATATTCCAAAACTTTTTGAGTGCATTTTCTGCCTATATAACTATTTCAAATAATTATATTTGAAAGAACGAAAAAAGAGTAGACAATCCATATTTGGAGAGAGGTAGAACGACGAAATCATTACAACAAAATTGGGTTTATAAGACTCCTACAATAAAACTTAATATCTAAAAGTGTTGCAATAATGCTTATGGGCGTTAATATAATTTAATACATTTTTAAATTAAAGTATCGTATTAGCTATTTAATAGGACATTTTTGAAAAATATCTTATAAACCCATCTTATTTGTAAGTAACTTTTTCAAATAATGTCTTATAAAATAATTTATACGACATTTTATTTCTGAAATTGTCTTAAAAACACTTGTTAAAACGTTCTATAAACTTATTGTATCACTTTTTGATAGGATCTTTATTGTTTAGTCATATAAACATAGGTATTACAAAATATTCTATCAGGACATTTGTATATTCTTTTGTAGTGAAAGTATAAGTTGTTTTTGGTAACTGTGGTGTATAAGTCATCATGTATGCATCTCGATTAATCCTATATGACTCTTAAGTTATCAGTCAGACTAACCCTTTAGCGGCTCTAAGGAGACTTGCACTATTAGTAAACAGACTTTACAACTTCCATAATCCGTCGGTAATTTCTGACGTCTCTGACAGGTTCAAAATTTATCAATTAAAAAAAATTAAAAAAAAAAATCCCTCAGTAATTATCAACGGGATTTCCGACAGATTGAATAATTAAAAAAATAATCCCTCGAATATTCATTAATAAGACTTAGAAGTCGTATTATCAAACACTTATGAGGTAAACGTTTACGAATAAAAATTCAACACTATCACTTACTTAACGGGTAAGACTTTAGTCAACAAAAATGGCATGGTATGCAACAATTTACTCGGTAAGTACTAACCGTGGTAAGAGTTGTCGTCCTCACTTAATTACCGGGTAAGACTCTTGGTTCTTGCCTCGCTCTTATCAGGTAAGATTCTTGATCCTTACCATATTCATCATGTAAGATAATTAATATGACTTGGTAAGCGATTACCCGGTAAACGTCACTTGGTGAGGAACGATCTTAAGGAGTCTTTGGTCAAAGGCTAATCAGCCTAACCTTCTTCTATATGGGTATTTTATATGCCTTTTTCTTTATACACGCCATCAGTGATGGGATCCGTCGGTGATCAGTTGGTAAATGTGTTCGTTAGTGATCCGTCGGTATAACTTTTCCCACGACATTTCTACCGACGGATTCGGATTTTAGCGGTGAATTACCGACGAATCTTTCTGTCGGTAAAAGTCAATTGTTTTGTAGTGTTGAACGGTGACCTACCTACAGGGAACAAACTCAAGATCTTATTAGTTGAGCTACCCCTTGTTGCTAATATTAAAGAAATATTACAAACTAAATGAAGTGGGGGAACAACATTCCTAAGATATTTAGCTTCATGGTCGTATTAGAAAAGAGGTTATAAGAATAACTATTCTAACATTGATGGAATTCATGTTTATTAATTAGTCTTGTGATTAATTGTAACCTTAACTTTAAATTCTAGCATTAACCCTAACCCTAACCCTATACTCTAAACTACAAATGTAACACAAACCATAAAATGACTGGGCCACATTGTTCATGCTTAATGAATAAGCCACAATAACATCGATCTTTAACCTTGAATTAACCCTAATGTTCATGCAGTGAACACTTATAAAGCATAACTAACCCTAAATTCATATTGTTCATGCCTACTGACTATGCCACAATGGTTCCTAATAACCATATTGGTATTTGAATTGTTTCCTTAGGATACTCCCAACCCTTTCCCATAGCCAGTAAACCACTACTGCCAAAACCACCCCATCTAAGTTGTCTCAAACATCCAACACAAAATGCATGCTTGTTCAAAATCCCCTTATGGT